GCTTCTTCCTGGATTAACCTACAATGGAGTCTATCAGCATTCACTTTCAGGAGAGTCTTGATCCTCTGTGTATGTTTGATTATTACTTTTTGGTCTTTCATCCTGACAGTGGATAGGATTCTTTTGTGTTCTTCATATTGGGCATATAGTTTGAAGATTTTCTCTTGAAGTTCTGTCAATTGCTCTAACAACTTCACTAAGGATTTTTGATGTTCAGGGTAGTCACAGGCAACAATGGACCGATGGAGGATCTTTATTTATTTTTAGAGGATAATGATACAACCAATCATGAAATCTGGATATTGGACAGCACAGATCATTTTATTGGTGCAAGGTATTTTCTTGAAGTTTCTTGATATAATTGTTGATGAATTATTAAGAAAATTTTTTATCAGGACACTGTGCAATAAATACAAAATTTTTTGGAATTTTTGCGTCAATCAGCAATTTTGAGGGTAATTGGAAAAGGTTACAATATATGGTTACAACAATACAACACATGGCAACAATAATATCACATGATAATGACAATGACAACACATGGCAACAACAATAAATAATGATAACACATGGTAATAGCAATTGAAATGTGTATAACACATGGCAATAATAAAAAAACAGAAATATAGATCAATGATACAACTTGCTAAGCAAAAATTAAATATCATTTTAGTATTTGGAATACTCTTTTTTGTGTTTCAGTCTATTCAAAAAGTACTTGTTTTTCTAAAAGTTTATTTAATAGTTTGACGATAGTTAAGAAGTTGGCAATAAATTTTCAATAGTAGAATACTAATTCTAAAAATCCTCTAAGTTGTTTTGAGATTAATTATAACCTGCAGGACATGACAATCAAATTTGTAACAACATAATGATGCAACAAATATAGAAATTTGACCGACAAGAAAAAACTAATCAATGATACTCTCACTAATGAATTGCTCTATAGGTATTTTGAAGACTTAAGACGAAATATAAATGACTGTATCACATGATATGAAGACACAACACTACAAGGTATCGCAAAAGACACCAAGGATAAACAACATACTGAAATATAGGATCGCGAAACGTTACGCAACGTATTACAACATACGCTACATAAAGGTATAATGTCACATAGGTTTGAAACAAAGGTTGGATCAATAGATAGAAATCAAACTCATGGTATAAGTCTGGGCGCAGTATTGACCTTTGGATGGATAAACACTATCTGGCATTTCAATCCATGGAATGTGATACGACTGTACCATACGCCATACTAGGATGGATGACATACACACCAAGGAACGTAGTATGAAGCTCCGGACGACACAGTAACACAAGGTTATCATTAGGCTGCCATAACGTCACCATATGTTCCGGATACTGCTGGAATGAGAGATTGCCGCAGTACCGCCAGAAGGATAACACTAGCTCAGGACATCACTAAAATACGTCAATGTCGACGTAACACAGGGTTGACGCCACATCGCCGGGATGACGCTATATGCGTCAGATGCTGCAGCAATATAGGATTGTCATCGTACTGCTGGAACTAGGGTTCCGATCGGTTTCGGTAAAAACCGATACCGATCTTTCAGTTTTGGTTTCGGTATTAATTTTTATGTAAAAATACCAAACCGAAAATTTCAATACTGTACCGATCGATATTGGTATTTACCAAAATTTATATTTATAGTATATTAAATAAAATTGCAATTTTTATTTTATTATATTATTGAAA